TCTCATTGTTGGAGATGATTTTTCAAAACATTTGCAAAAATCAGTACATGATACTTGACAAACAAAACTGATATTCATTTTAACAAAATAGAGAAATGTCAAACCTTGCTACATGGAATACTGATATTAAACATTTTTCGAGCATATGATTCATGCATGCTTCAAATTATGTTAAGCTTTGTTAGAGATCCATATTTTGAGAAACTGTTGCTCAAAATGGGTGGTCCAGGTGTTGTAAGGGGGTCCAACTAGACCTATACTAGCACTACTGATGAATTTATATTCTTTTCATTGTTTTTGTTTTACTTATGATTGTACTCAATGCTTATAGCTTTAATCATAAAATCGGTTAGAAAGCGTACAAAATTAGTATGAGTAGATCAGTTGGGTTATATTCCAACAACTTCAAAGCTTATATTTATTGCTAGTGATGGTAAAAAAAACCTCAAGTTTTTAATTTAAGTTAAATAGTTATATTTAGAAAAACAAGTTATAAGTTACATCTAAATTCATATTTTAGCACTTGTAAAGAGGATATCTGTTTTCAATTTTTTTGTAACACATCATAGCACTTACATTTTCCCCTATTTTGGTCATAAACAATACCAAAATCTCTTTCTTGTGAGTATAATAACTTTCAAACAATGAAAAATCAAGTTTGTAACAAGTATATGTTATAAGAGCTGCAAGTGTCTTAAGCAGTATTAACATTGATGAAAATGAAAAACGGTTATTAATTTATGAAAACAAAATAGGTGGAAGGGTTGAGCACCTTCCCTAGATCTGTGCTTATACAACATTAAATGATATGGTTACATAATTATGTATTAGAAATATAACAGTGTAAATAAACAGTAAAGTTACACTTTATTTAATACATATGTACGAGTCTGTTGTACACAAAAAGTCAGATATATTTATTACAAAAGTATTTGTTCTCCCGATATGAATTGATGATGCCAGTCTGACTTACACTCTGATAAGTAAGAGTGCACGGTCATGTTCAGATGAAGAATAAAAATAACTGTCCATGATACAATTTGCATATTGCATACCTTTTAGGCTCTATAACCTCTAAAATGCATATCTACAGTTTTTTTCAGTAGATTTGTATATTGTATCTGGTATTTATTGTCCTCCATCATGAACTGTCACTAAGTCGGTAATGTAGCGTAAAATGAATAGTTAATCATTTTGATATCAAATACATAATACTATGTTGAATGGCACTGTAAGAAATTGTGGCATGAGCACTTTGACTCCATCTATGTGTATAGAGTTAAAAGGATATTAATTGTATAACTGTGTGGTTAAGAAATAATATACAAGTAACATAGTTAATTCTTTATGGTTGAGTATTGATATTGTTTGTGTTTTTATTTTAATTAGTAGCTTACCATTATTTTCAAAACATTTTAAACACATTAAAGTGACATTTGAGATTTCTGAAGAGTATGCAGGAAAATCATGTTACTTTTTTGGTAACTATCAGTATAATGTATTTGCAATACTTCTTGATGCATGATGGAGTTCGTTGCTTTCCAGATGCTTAAGAGATAAACTGATGATTTTGTGAAAAGTAAAGAATAAATTTTAATGGTTACTTTTTTTCATGGGTATGTTTCTAGAAAAAAACAGAAAGTTCACCAAGATTGTATTGGAAGAAACAGATATAATTTAATCATCTGATGTAAGAGATCTGATTTCAGTGCAAGGCAAGCTGCATATTAGTACTTTTCTGTTGTAAAAATAAAGTACAAATTGCTGACTTTGCTGACATATTTCTTGAGCTCATGGTTTTCATGTAAGAGTAACCTCACATTGTTTATTGAGTATTTTGATTGCATAAGCTGTTGTTAACAAAGTGTACAGACAACAAGGGACCATTTGTTCCTTTCACATCCACACTTGGGAGAAGTAAAGATTTAAACTCACACTTTACCTTTTAGGAAATCATTGGTTCCTCCTCTACTTCTGTAAAATTAGGTTAGGTTAGATTAGTGGTCTCCACTACTTTCAGTGTCAACTCATTTCATTCCCTAATTCGATCACTTTGACAAATTTCTGTTCAACATCTTTGATAAAGCTACAAATACTTAAGACTTTAATGCCATTGACAGACTTTACTAATTATGCTCAGTATTCAGGTAAATGCCCACTCTTTATTGACCTTCTAAAAATTAAGGAGAGAGCAGTGTTCCTTGTAAGCTGCATGGCAGCACAACAACAAATCAAGTGCTGTGTTAGCCAGCACATCCTCAGTAATGGTAGAGGTGTCTCAGGCCTCAATGACTCTGGTAGTCGATAGGCCTAAACCCCAAATAACCAACTGGTAGCATTGCAAAGCGGCCTTGTAATCCAATAGGGTTGATGGTCTAAAAATACCCCCAGCCCCTGAAAACAAACTGGTAATGCACATTGCCTTGATACTGGGAGAAAACAATGTCTAGGCCTGGTGCTTTATATACTTTCAAACTTTTTAATTTACCACCAAGGGATTAGTATCTATATCATTCAAGTCAATTGAAATGTTTCTTGTAGAATGCTAAGGTTCAGGAATATTGTTATTATCTTTACCCTCAGCTTTCCATTCTCCTTCTGAGTGATACATTGTGAAGATACTGATGATTGTTCAAAAACAGTAAGAAAAAATTAAAACTTTTAGAAAGCACTTTCAAAAAGTTAAAGCTGCTCTGATAAATAATTGTAATTTTAATTTTACTTCATATTTTTCATTTCACTTTACATTGATGAATTCTGTACAGTTAGTGTTAGAGTAGAGAAAAAGAGGTAAAGTACAAAATTTTACCAAAAAACCAACAACTTGATATTAATTTAGAAGGTTATGCAAATGAAATATGAAACTGCAAGATGAAAACAAGTATTTTTATTCTTAGCATAAAATTATCTTTTTCTCAGACTGACTTAGTAAAGGTTTGTAGATTCACAGATGTATTTTTAGTACAAATGTTTTATTAAAAAAATATTTTTTTATGTGAAACAGGCTTATAATGTTTACTAAAAGCTTGCAATTTTCCTGAAAATACACTTAGTACATTTAGAGTTAAAGTATATATAGTTTCATGGTTACAAGATTGGTCAAAATGACCATGCCTGTATCATAGAACTAACTGCATTCCCTTTAACCTATTACTGCAAAATTAAGGAAGACTAATGCAGATAACCTTTGAGTAGCTTTGTATGAAATTTAACAAACAAAAAACTACTAAGCTGGAATGTTATCTGAAAGAAGGTTCAAGATCTTTAAAATCATATGATCATGATATTTCTAAGTATCTCTGAAGCTCTTTTTAATTAGGCATTTCTTGCATACGTACTTACTGCTTTTGTCAGCCATGAGGAGATACCCTTTTCTGCAATATTTAAACTAATGTCTGAAATACTGAAAGCCTTTTCTTGTTAAATTGCTTTCATGCTGTCAACAAACATGTGACTCAATGTTGTGGATGTTCTTGAGGCTGTCCAGAACATGGTCAACTTACCCATAACTCTCCACTATCTCACCTTTCACCTGACTCATTGTACATGCATCAGGAGGTCTTACATAAGCTTTGCATTCCCACCACAATTCAGATTTTTTTATCAACTATGAATTCTGCAAATATTTCTATCAATATAAGAAATTTTAAAACTTCTGTGGTGGTCTTACCAGCCTTCAGCATGCAGGGTGATCCCAAGATTGTAGTGGAAGCACTTGCAGATCATTGTGTTTAGGCCATTACTTTCATATTGTTTGTTGGTGTCCCTGGTAGGTTTTCATGATTGTGTGGTCACTGTATGATGGAACATCCATACTTTTCTCTAAAAAAAAAAAGTTTTAGTAGGTAGGCCTATTCACCTTAATAATTTAACAGCAGGATTTGTCAACCAACCCTAATGTTAGTAACTTCCAATGGGCTCAGTGGTAAGTCTACAGACTTACATTGCTAAAATTCAGGTTTCAGTACCTGTTGTGGCTAGAGCATAGATAACCCATTGTGTAGCTTTCTGCTTAACATCAGTCAAAACCATAACCTAATACTGGAGAAACTTCTCGGCTCATTTCTTTTTTTCCTCAGGTATATTCTCTTCAAAATCTCAAACTATATTGTGTTATACTTGTTATATTGGGTGATTCAGTTTTTGAATATTAATTTTCTACCTCTTGTTATCAGTTCATTGCTAATATTTTTAGAAATAGTTAACTATTAATCAACCTTTAGCTTGGACTTCTTGCTTAACTCTTCTTACTTTCTCAGTTCTTGAATATTAAACCTTTTTTTTTTTAGGGGTAGGGCAAAGAGTTTTTGGACGTGATCTTCTACTTGCCCAATTTCAGTTTTCTCCCCTGTATGCTATAATTTGTCTTATTTTGGAACTTTCTTCTCCAGAATATTTATCATCTACTTTCTTTTTTCTGATTCTTTTAGTCAGGATGAAAAATAAATAAATACTTGCAGTGATCCTTTGCTGTGGCTCTCTCTGATGTAATTTCTACTATTCTATGGCTTTAACGTTCCTCTGACACCTTGGCCCACCTTGCTGTGTTATAAACAATATACTAACTTTTCCCCCTCAACCTTAAAATAGTTTCTTCCCTGCTTTATTTTTCTCCTATACAGGAGAAGCATGTCAGTAGTAGATGATTGGAGCTCATTTTGTCTTACTTAGGCTAATAACTCCTTTGGAGTTGACTAGCTACTAATATATGTCCTTCTGTTTTACCTCTCTCACGTACTTCTTAGTCAAGTTCAGTACTTCTACTCATTGTTTTAAACTCTGCTGAGCAACGAAAAGTAGACATATGCTTGTGGACCTTTCCAACTTGCTCTATAACTCTTTAGTTACAAAAGGATACCCCATCTGGACTGTTGGAGTTCATTTTGTATCATTGCAGATGTAACTGTTGGTTAATTACTCACATGTCTTTTTCTTTCTTTCCAGTTTTGTACATATTTTGGATCACACATCTCTAAATTCTTACTTCTATCTCTACATAGCTCCAAAGTTATCAAGAAATTTGAGACCTGTTGTAGCCTGGCTCAGCTCATTCATCTTCTCCTGGAGATACCTCATTTTAAGGTAAATCACTTGGTTGTATGAAAGTTTCTTTGCCATACCCTTTGGAAGGTGACTGTGGATATATAAGACACTTATCTTCATACTCCTGTTCATTCTTCATCCTATCATTTCTGGCTTTGACTCCCTATATTTTTGCATTGATTAATCCAGTTTTTGCTGGACTTCATTATTCACTCAACATCATTTTTTACTATTACACTGAAGATTGGTTTGTTCTAACCCTTTTGTCCATTCAACCTTTTAGTCTCTCTTAGTTGACCACCTAGCTGTTACAGCTCTTGGGTGGTTCGTGTATAACTCCACTTCTAATTTAGTACCAACATATCTGGGGCTTTGGATCAACACAATTCAAGGTATGCTTCCCTTTTCAGTTTTTCAGTGATTGCACCAGCAGCTTGGTCATTTTATGATTGATGCATTTCAATGATGAGCAGTCTTCTTCCACTTTATTGGCACAGAATTCCAGTCCCTGCTTCTCAAACAGTGGATGCTTTGACCTGGTTTTAGGAGTTTTTTTCTCTCTGCCTATTCTCATACTTGAGTATTGGCAAAAATCAATTCATCTAATTGTCAAATCCTACTTACTGATCCACACTGGCATGTTATGCAGTCCTTTGTTAGAGGAGTTGGGTTCTCTTTTCAAGAAGCTTGAATGTTAACATATTCTTGAAGGCAGTCTTCCCTGCCTATCTACTGGTATTGTTGGGCTATCTTCAGGAGATGGTTCCTTAGAAATTCTGTTCCTCATCTTTCTGCAACTTCTCCATGTTCTTATTTCATGATCATGGCTTGCCTTATTCTGTTGTAGGCTACAAAGCCGCCCTCTGTGCCACCTTTAGATGACATAGAAGTCATTTTCCACTCTTGTCCCTACTCTTTCCTCATCACAGAAAATGATGTAGAATGTTCTAAACTATTCATTATTCACTGGCCAAATTCTGGTGTATTTATAAATGTAGTGAGTGAAAATAGATAACAGTGCTACGTTAACTGTAATGTGTACTGTTGATACTACATACTATACATAACAATCTGTGGCATGTTGTGGAGAAGTATATTTAAGTGTGAAGTTCAATCTGTCTGAATTATGTAACATCTTTTGCATGTTTTGTACCTAACTGCTTTGAAAGTTAAATAATAACAGTAATAATGAGAGGTGGTAAAATTAATGATTTAGAGTATACCACTTTTTTAGTGAACTGATAGTGAAACAATATTGCCATAATACAAATATGAATGTTATTTTCTTATAAAAGGTAAGCAGTATTTCAGAAAATGCAGTTAGATTGTACCAACACATTTTAACTATATTTCAGGTATAAATGTTTATGAAAGTTAAAAAAGGGATGCTTTAGATTTTTCGAAGAAACAAATAAATAAACGTACCAGATATATTAAAGACATAGTTTCTTATTATTATATTTTAGTAGTACATATGTATGTAGCATTTATTATGGTCTTAAAATGCTTCTTAATTCATCTGTAGGTGAAAGTTCCAGAAAGCAAAATGTAACTTTTTTTTGTTTACCTGTGTGTATGTGTATAGAAATGGTATGTATAAAACAGGTAGAGTATTTGCTATCATCTACAAGGCAAAGCTGCTTCTTATCTATTTTTATAGGGATCTTAGTCAGCTGGTGTTTGCAATAGACCAACTTCTATGTCTAACAATAAATCTTTAAAACAGATGAAGAGAGAATGATTGAAGAAGATCACCATGAAAGTACAAGTACACCAGTTGAAATTCTAGGAGAGGTAAGTTATAACTTGTATATATTTTTTACCTTTGCTAATTAAAACCTGACATAGAAATAATATATATATATATATATATATGTGTGTGTGTGTGTATACTTACAAAAATGCTTGTTCTTTTTTAGGCAAGTTGAATGCTTATATATACTTTGGATTTTTTTCCTCTATAATCATTTACAAATGAAATTCTATTGTAAAATTTGTGCAAATGGACCAGCCACTTTAACACATTTTTTTTTTGAGATACCAACAAAATTAACACAAACTTCTTTAAGAATAATCAAAAATTCATTTTAAATCTAATGAGAGATGTCTCTCATATTAATATCAGGAGCTTTGAAGGTCAACCAGTCAGTTATTGTTTAGTTACATGATAGACCATTTTGACACATGGTAGTTGCTCTTTTTAGTTCATGGTTCACAAACACTGTAAGCATATACTTGACAATCAATCTATACACCATCCATTCAGCCATGTCATCAGACTAAGGATGAAATGTTGTTTCCACCTCATCCAACACAACTCTGCAAAAACTGTGTTTTTAAGTTATCTTCTTGATCTGTTTTTATCTCCAATAGTTACAAATCATGTTATCTGTTGTTGATCCAACACATCTGCAATGGACTGTGTTAATGATTCAACCAGTGGATAAGCTTCTGCCTTTTGGTGGAGTAATCAGTAAAGACCAGCACATACTGATTACCTCTCTCTCAGTATCATACAAAGGCCAGCTATATCTAGGGCAGATTTCTCAAAGGAAGAACCTGTAATTCTCTGTCAGTTGTCTCTGATATTGCTGATTTTAAATCTGGGTAACACAAGTGCTACAGTGTTTACATCATTTCTCAGTATTGTTATTCAAATGTGGATATAAAACTGCTTCTGCACATATGCAAAAGTACATGACACTTTTTGGTATCATTCAGTTCTTGCATGTTACAACAGTTGTTTCAAGATCTGAACATTTATCAAATATACAGGACCTCACTGGCTGGTGATATAATCAACTGGTAGTTCTGTGCTGCTAACCTGGCAAGTGATGTAGAATGAAGCTGTACTCTTTCATCATTGTTATCCAACATACAATTATACTTTCTACATTTTTCAAGTTCATTAGTTATCTTGTAAATGCATGATCCACTTAACTAATAAACTTCCTACGATACGAGTAGTGACAGTAATGCTTGACAAATACTACAATTGCAAAATGTCTCTTCTTTTTTTGTATGCTATTGGTACTTAGGATCAGTTAATGTATAGTGTGCATATGCAGTTACATGCTGCATACATCTTGTATCTGTGACCAAACCACTCCATTTACACTATTATTGACATGTATATCCAGAATAGATAGACAATCTTCACAGGAATAAACTAGCATCAGTGCTTTGACCAAAGTACACTTCAAAGATCTGAATGCATGTTCACATTCCTGCATCCACACAAAGTACAGATCAGCCATAGTCAGTACAGACAGTGGTTTAGCTATATTGGAGAAATTGGTCATAGATAATGTGGCACAAAACCTATGAAGCTGCAGACTTCTCCTTTGATCTCAAGCTAATGACAATCTTTGACCTCTGTGAACAGCTGTAGTGTAATTAACATATTATTACAGTCTTCTTTACTTTCACTAGTAAGTTCTTATAATTACAGGATCAGTGAATATTCTATCCCTGTCAACTATTGTCACTGAGGATTTACTTCCATATGCAAGGACACACTTTCTTTCAGTCATTTTCATTGTACATATTTATGGCAGATGAACCCCCAACTCCTACTAATTTGTACAAATCTCAGTAAATTATTTGTCAATTAGCAAAGTCAATGCAGAAATAATCAATTATGTGGTCAATAATCTAAACATACTTAGAAAATAAAAAGAAGATATAAGACTAAAATTATTATCTTGTCAATGTAGATAGAAATGTGTTCTGAATATTATTTTGAATGAATAAAAAATATCACTTAAACAGATCTAAGTGTAAAAAACCTTCATAATTTAAATCTTTCAGACCTTACGGAAATATCCAAAATATTTTCTTTTAACAATTAGGGTAATAATTACACAAAGCTAGAATTGGAAGCAAAGCAGCTAAACATAACCCCACGCTTTGTGATGAAAAGAGTATGACAGCAACAGAATAGACCAGTGGAATGTTAAGCATGAAGATCATCATAAAAATAAACAAGTTCTTTAATGTTTAAATCAGTTGTAAAAGAGTTGTGAGTTGAAGAGATATTGGGACATTGTGGTCAATTATTTGAGTTACTGTTATCAAGTAGAATAGAACTGAATAGCCATAGAAAGTGGGATAGGCTAGAGATTGTGAATCATAGATTGTATTTAGTTGCATTTCATATCCATAGAATCTCTTAATCATTGTATAATGAGTTTTATACAGGATACAGTCATTGATATCTGATTTTAAATTCATGCAAAAACAGCTTATTCACTAACTTCTGAAACAAATACTCACCTCTGTACATGGATAGCTATTTCCTCTTGAGTTCATGCATTCTGCTTGATAGATTTGCATACCACCAATCTTGTGAAAACTCCCATCAACAGGAGTGTGACACATCTCCATGTGCAAATACTCCCTCTATGTTTGTGTGCAAGAATCTCCATTCTTTTCCTTGACACAGTTATATTCAAATGTGTTTTGAGTTTGCTGGGATTTGTGATTTTTCTAATTTCAATTTGATTGAATTTAACATACATACTCAGTGTGATTTCACAGGTCAGTGTGAACTCTATCTCTGCTAATGTGTGTGATGAGATTCCGCACAGACTAAATTACTGCCGTTTTTGCTGAACTTCTTTATGTGTGGAAGACGTGTCAGCCATCTTGCATTGTATGCTTGGGTCCTTATGCAGCCTGGATCCTCATCTGTCATCCCTTCCACTCATTTCCTTTGCCATTTTTTCAGGCCTGACATTGGAAAAGATGATTATGGGTGCTTTTTTCCCTTTTGAATTTTCCCACTTGCCTTACATAAACTTTCTACCTGTGGTTTCCTTTCTTCTCTCTGATCATTCATTTGGTACCCAGCATTTCCTTCAGGTTCTACTTCACTTCTGCTGTTTTATGCCTTGTCCTCCCTGCCTTACCAGGTAACACGTAGAAGTTACTGTTTAGATATAATTTATTGCTCCTTAACACACAACTCATAGGTTTTATTATTTAGATATCGTATATTACTCCTTAACATGTGTCATATAATATAACCTTTAGATCTAGTTCTTATCTTATACCACATAGAATATAATGTTTAGTTATCGTTCATCACTCCTTCACATTTACACACAGAAGTTGATGTTTGGTCATGTTTAATCACTCTTTACCATTAAAACGTAAATGTTAATGTTTAATTATAGTTAGCTACTCTTTAACATATAACACATACATAGATGTTAATATTTCTTTCTGTTTGATTGCTCTTTAACATGTCCACATAGATGGTAATGTTTAAATCCAGTCCATCACTTCTTCGCATGTGCACATGGAAGATAATGCTTATTTTTAGTTAATTATTCTGTGGATGTTGATGTTTTCCCCAATTTTAACATACTGCAAACCCCTTTCATGAACATGCCAAATCTTGCAAACCCCTTCCTAAAAATAGATATTTTCCAAGGATTTTCTACCATATCTGAGTGTAGATTATACAAAAACATTTCCAGTTCCAAGCTGCTGGGGTGGTGGACCATGGAGACATCCTCCTGAATATCATAGTGATATATGATACTAACATTAACGAATCCATCCATTTGAGAGTAGGGCAGTGATATTCTGCTGGTGTAGGTGACAAGATTTCCTCCAATCTGACCTCCATCTCTGAATGAGTCTATCCGAGGGTATGTTATAGCTTTGGAGTGAGACATCAAAATTGCAGTTCACCTTTTCGATTGGGAATCCTCATCCTACCCCCACATTGATGTTGGTTCCAAGTGGCTGGGTTTTGGATTCAGAGCTGACCAGTCAACACAAGTTCTCACACATGTGTTACAGGTGTCTGTGTTCCCTCACTCAGTTGGACTCATGTTCACTCCTATGATGTGGGTCACAGCGGATGATCATGCAGGTTACTACAGTTCTCCCTCTTGCACTATCCCTTGAAGATTTTCATTTGCCGAGGATGTTACTGTGCTGGTTTCTGTCTGATTGGTTTTGAGTGAAATATTTTACAATACAGGGACATCTTTATTATTCTGATCATCTGAATGTCTGGTTCCCGGATCGGTAAAACATTTGATCCCTTTGCTATCATGTGTCCTGTTCACAGATCAGAGGGTACAGTATTCCCGTCTGGTCTGCTGAACTTGAGATGAAGGATGTTGATCCTCTTTCTTAACTCCACATGGATGTTGGTTCCCACTGGATGGGACTTGGACTGTAGTTGACTTGCCATGTATGGTCTGTTGCACCCTAGCCATTCTACACCTTGGGGCACATCCATTTTACTCTCACCCACATAACTGTAATCTGTGGGATTGAGATTCAGATATTGGGTGGTTAGGTTCCCTATCTAACCATTGTTCTATCCCTTTTGGATGTACTCCTCCCTTTTTCTGCCCATGTCTGTGTCATCTCTTTCCACACTGGGCAGGCATAGAGCATACCTAGTACAGAAGTGGTGCAGTCTCCCACGTATGATCCTCTACTGCAAGGATCCCCCCATTTAAGGTGTTCTTTGGACACTTTTGAAGGATGCTTCTTTCTTTCTTTCTCAAGCAACAGTCCCTCCACCTATTCAATGTGGGATTCTAGCTATTTATGTGAGTGGAAGTAATGTACCTTATTGGAAGTTATAATTTTCCTATACTGAAAATGTATTTTTGATAGGTACTTACCTCCTCCCACCTTTCCTCCCCACTTAAAACCGATGCTTCCTTTTTCTGCCAAAACTCAAAATGATAATTCAGCAAAATTGAATAGAGGGAGTCACATGCATCAATAGGGTTTGTTGCTCTCCTATTGGTGGAGGGTTTTTGCATAATGGTTTTCATGCAAGACGCAGTTGAACCATGTTGATTGTAAAGTACATGGGAGCTCAAGTCTCATATAGAGGACAGCACTGAACAAGAATAGCTATATATGTGAGAGAAGGTAAGTATCTATTGAAAATACAGTTTTAGTATAGGAAAATTATAACTTTCAGACATTTGCAAGCTAGAATATAAACTATGAACCTCCTACCATTTTGATTTGCTGAGAAGATATCAGTATATTTTGCAAACCTACTGTGGTAGCCACACCTACTACTCCATTCTTTTGAAACCTTTTTTCTACTCACGTCTACTTAAGTACATGTTTATAACCAATAGAAAAAGCACATTCCAAACTTTGTAAATTTGATAGTCATTTGTAATTGGCTGGAGGGAGAACTCTGTAGAGTAAGTCATTGTTCTGAACAGAAATATTTTCTTAACCCACATATAGCTTAATTACAATGGTTTTATGTGTACCAGTAAAGTAATTTGATAATTATTTTGCTTTCCTAAAATGCATCTTTTGAAATATACAAAAATTAATTCCTCCATTAGAGAGAATAAACAAGGCTTGTGGCAAAGTTTAGCTAGTACATCACAGACGAAGAACTAAGATGTAAAACAGCCACACAAAGATACATGAGGGAATAGACAAGAAAATTAAAACTCAGGTCCAAAATGGCATTAGGCTAACAAAAGCCTCCAGAACGGCACTAATTTGGTTTGGCAGTGATGCAGCAAGGTAGTTTAATATGAACTGCTTCAAGGACATTGGAATTTGGTTTCCAAATACGTTATGAGAGTTTGATGGTATTAAGATATAGAGAATTAAGTAGGTTAGATCATACTCAGTAAACTAGTCTTGCAATGTGGATATGTCCTTTTAACTTTGTAGAGAAAATGAGAGATAAAATATAAAGTTTTTCTGAAACAAAAAAGCTCATTATTTATTTAGGAGGTTTTAGAAATTATAGAAATAAAATTTGAAAATTTTTCACATTAAAAAAATTATGACTCGCATAAAAAGATTTAGTAAAAAGACTTAATTAAAAATTCTGTTGTTTTTTTTGTCATCAAAAGATTTATAATGTTTACTAAAAGCTCAAAATTTTGTGAAGATAAACAAGACATGTTAAAAGTTTTAGTGTGGAAACTGTGATGGTTACTTTGAGGTCACATGGTCAGTATAATCCAGTGATTCAGTAGCAAAATAATTAAAGGATATTAAGGACTGCGTAATTACTTTTACTGAGAAGTTGTTATGTGTGTGTGTGTTTATACATATATAT